AAATTGGTTTGAGCCCATCTAAGCTTGGATGAGACGAGCAGTTAAACTCAGATATACTGAATGAATGGTAGCCAAATGAAATATATTTTAGATCTCCAACATCCTATTATCTTAAATTACTTTTCTTCTTTTATTATTGATTAGAATATCTCTAACTACTAGCTGACTTGGTAATTTATATTTAGCCATCGAATCTGTTTATTATGTGATTTTGGTTTTAAGAGATGTATCTCTAATGATTTGGGTGCAGATACAAAGTGATTCAAAACATGGTTTCGAAACATGGGAGAATGCTTTTGAGTAAACTCATGTAAACATTTTGAGTTCCTTCTTTCACTGAGTAAACTCATGCTTTATGGAATTGAATAACCTTTTATATGAGTTTACTCAAAATGTTTTGCTTTATAATTCACAAATCTACCTATGTGGTTTACTTCTGCATAAGACATGGGAAAATAAGTGTTTTTAAAGAAATGCAGTGGTATATAATTTTTTAATGTAACTTTTTTTATTATTATTATTGTTCTTAATCTATTTATTTTGTTACAATGATGTCCAGTGGCTATTCTCTTACTTTCATTAGTTTATCATTTTTTAAATACGTATGCTTATCATTTTTTAACTTTCTCTGTACTTACTGAAACACTAGACGGCTAGACCTTATTGACATTCTTTGAGTGCTACGGGACAATTATGGGGTCTATGTGTGTTGTAGTAGTGTAGTTCTAATTTTAATTTTATTGTCAGCGTCAACAGCCTAAAAATCACTACATCCGTGTTTCTTCTTTAATGCCTTTTATGTGAGCACCTTAGAGTTGTTTGACTTGGTGTATAAAGTTGTTGGCCATCACTTTCTGGAACTAGGGGGTTGAGGTCCTCCACCAAGCTGTTGGAAAATGATATGGCTTTTCCTTTGTGTTGCTTCCCAAAAAATCAGAAACCTATGATTAGGTAAATTAGCAAGTTGTGTTTTTAAAGCACTAAAATATCATATTTTCCTACCAGCTCTTGGACGGTCGGGGGTACATGGTAGCAGCCTGTGATTGTTGTTGATTATCTTCCTGAGCACATAAGTAGAAGACGGGGAGCTCTGCAGCTGCAATGAATCTAACTTGAGGTCAACCGACTCTTCTTTGTTCCTTACCAATGGCAGCTGCTTGGTGGTATTTTTGTTTTATTATTAGTTTTCCTTTATTAGATTCAATAGAAATAGCAGACCATCATTCAAGTCCTTTGAATATATTTGAATGATCAGTGAGTATTGGTATCTGCTTTGGCAACATTTTGCAGAAATAAGGGTGATCTATTTCACAAAGCATAATAAACGTAAAAGTTTCAAGCTATGAAAATAAGAATAATGAATTCAGATGTTCAGATTAAATATTCAAACAGGGGACAAACGAAAAGAGTGAGATACCTTAAAAAAACAAATTTTCAAACATAGTTAGCTTAAAGTGTAGCATAATTACCGGTAATTAAAGGTGTCACTATGAAATACATCACTCCTATGTTACTAATATCTTATTCTTATGTCATGGTGAACAAAAAAATATACAGCCACACACACATTGACTATTATCCATTATTTGCTGATTGTTGGGCTAATTCTTTTGATTTCATAGGCTATTCTTCATGAAGTGTTTACACGTATGGACGGTCATCAAGAGTTCGTGCAGATAGATCAGAGTTTGGTGTTGGTATGATCAAGGTATTATCTCAGTTGTTCGATTGTTCAACCATTGATGAATTGAAATTGTAGTCAGAATCACCGTAATAACAACGACACTAATAATAATAATAGTAGTAGTAGTAATAATAATAATAATAATAATAATAATAATAATAATAATAATAATAATGACAATAACGACAATATTAATAGTTGATATAAATAAAATTGAATAAACAATAGTATCTGCTCTTTCAAATGCATATCATTTTTTCTATATAAAAATATACAAACTTGTGAATAGACATTTAACACCAAGTGGGATTAGGTGCAACAAAATAATTATGTTTTGGTACTAATAACTTTGTAGTTTCAGTTTTTCGAACTGATTACTTTTCATATGTAATTTTCGTGTTAGTTTTAAACATGATGATTGATTTTAGATTAGCTCATCCTAGATGGTTTTTTTACCCAGGGAAAACCACCCCAAAAGTTTTTTTTATTTGTTAATCTCTTCCTCAATAATTTGTGTGTGTGTGTTAGTGTTTAGAATAAAAAACTGACATATTTAAAAGTTACGCTAGAAGTTCTATTCAATCGCAATAACTGAACTCAAATACGCAAAAAAATTATTATAAAAAAACAGAGAAAAAAGAGTTGCGTTGACTTCATGAATAGTTTATGAGATTTCGTTACGTGAACCATTTTGAAAACGGTTCTTCCTGTTTTCATATCATTCTAGATTTGTTATGGTAGTTTATTAAATACATGAACAATTTTAGTTTGGAAAAAATACATAAAATAGATCTATTGAATTTGAACCAAGTTTTTGCTCCCAAATTTTCTTTTGTTACAGATTTCCTGTCTTTTTTTCTCCATATTTTCTTTCCCTATCATTTTACAGATTTCAAACGTGTCAAGATCTAGATCCTGTATCGTGTTGGCTGTTTAGTGGTGAAGTGATATTCCTCTTGGGGCTGTTGCAGCACTTCACAGCTTACATGATGTTATTGTTAATGTATTGATTTGTTATCCTCTAACCGGTGGACCCTTAGAATGATTGCTATTTTGGTACCTGCTTCTCTGGCCCTATTTGATCGCCTACCATGCAGCCACCCTTTCCTTGTGCTGCTTGCTTATTTTTGGAATCTTTGTTTTGCCAACATATTGTCTCAAATACTCATTAACTCTCATTGACTCCATTAATGTGCTTGGCAGTGTTAAACTACCATTGTGTCTGTTGTCTGCATTGTCATTATTGTTTATGCACATTTGTTCATGCAACGCCTGCTTCTTGGTTTCACTTTTTTTCTCCTTTCACTAATACTTTTGCATTACTTTCGTTTGCAAATTTCTCCCCCCTGCCCTTGGGCATGACAACCGCGCAATGCGCGGGCCAACGCTAGTATATTAATACAAGGGAGGGAATTTGACTTTGGTTAAGGATGTTTTCTTTTGGACTGTTTTCAGTCCCAGACCAGACCAGACCAGACTTCCGTAGTTATAAAATACACAGAGACCAGACGTTTACCAGACCAAACCAGTTCAGACCAGACCAGACTTAAACAGACCAGACCAGACCAGACCAGACTTAAACAGACCAGACCAGACCAACAAATTTCAGTCCAAAAGAAAACATCCTAATTTATTCATAGCCTCCAAATTACTTTTATTTTTGAAAGGAAATTGTATATATTGATATCATTAGACTCAAGGCCGTACAAAATTTAGATTAGAGAGAGATGAACGGTCACTTATATCTCTACAAAAATTTGCTCTCTCCAATCTCTAGAATTATCAACGCTCCTATATATCCCCAATCTGGCATAACCCTTAGGAGGTGTTTACTTCACTGCTAAAGTCACAGTTAGGTTAGTAAGACAGGTGAAGTAAACATACCACCCCCCAATGTATTAATTAAGCGGCACTTTAAGCTTTTTCAGTTTCCGAATTTACCCCTTGCCCGTAACCTATTGTTATCCCTGCCCCACCTCGACCCCAACCCCACCTACCCGACCCCACCCTACCCCGACCCCACCCTACCCTTACCCCACCTACCCTGACCCCACCCTACCTCGACCCCCACCTACCCTACCCCACCCCGACCCCACCCTACCTACCCCACCCCTACCTACCTAACCAGTCCCCACCCTACCCTTACCCCACCCCACCCCTACCCTTACCCCACCTACCCTACCCCACCCCGACCCCACCCTACCTACCCCACCCCTACCCTACCTAACCGACCCCCACCCTACCCTTACCCCACCTACCCCGACCCCACCCCACCCACCCTTACCCCACCTACCCCGACCCCCACCCACCCTACCCCACCCCGACCCCACCCTACCTACCCCACCCCTACCCTAACTAACCGACCCCCACCCTACCCTTACCCCACCTACCCTGACCCCACCCTACCCCACCCCGACCCCACCCTACCTACCCCACCCCTACCCTACCTAACCGACCCTACCCTTACCCCACCTACCCTACCCCACCCCACCCACCCCTACCCTTACCCCACCTACCCTACCCGACCCCACCTTACCCCTACCCCTACGGGCCTATGGGGGCCTATGGGGTCGGGGGTAGGGTAGGGTGGGGACAGGTTAGGGTGGGGTCGGGTAGGTAGGGTGGGGTCAGGTAGGTAGGGTAGGGGTAGGGGGTAGGGGTAGGCGGTGGGTGGGGTCGGGGTAAGGTAGGGTGGGTAAGGGGTTAGGGGTATGGGTACACATATTATATTATATACTTGTGTTCATGAATGTTTGTGTGTATATATATGTATAGGGTTATTTTGGACATTTTAATGTTAAGCGGTGTTTTAAACCGTTTGAAGTAAACACGGTCTTACAACATTGTTTATTTTATGCGCCGATTATTAACACGGGTCTTAATAAGCACCGTTTAATAACCGGTGAAGTAAACATGTCCTTACTCGTCTCAGTCGTATCTCGTCCTCCGCCGCTATGGGGGAGCCCACCAGTTACCTAAATCTTGGGCATCGGTGGTTTCTAGTGCTACCAGAAAACAACCCAATGTTAAAGATGACCCTTCGCTTCAGATACTCGTCGGAAAACACAAAGGGTGTCTGTCGGTGAAGATTCCTAAGGCGAGATCTGATATCCTTGCTGGTGACCTTCAGTTTGCTCTGCTTGGAACCTTCCAGAAAGACCGACCATCTCTGTTGGCAATCTGTAAGGTTTTTGAAGCTATGAATTTCAAATCTTTACTCTAGTAAGGAGTAAAATATAATGGACATTAGAGAACATAAAATGGACGTTAGAGTTGGAGGCGGGGCTAGGCCGGGGGCCTGTATATATTTACACAAGAACCGTAGAGAGGGCTGTATATGTATCTATGTAGTATATTTTTTGTCCACATAAGATCCATGGATGCATTCATAGATACATGATAGGAGAACGGTGCATAGATGTATCTATCTATAATCAATCCTATCCTATCTAATGAGGAGGTTGAATGAGTTGGGGAATTAGCTTGAGCAAAAAAGACAACTCTTTGGGGGAGAAGTTAGGCTTCTCCGCACGCACATTATTATGATGATGATCCAGCTGCTGCTTCAACATATCTGCCACTGCCTGCGATATTTCTCCCACAAAATCAACGATCACTCCGTCAATGCCCATGATGTGTTGCATATATACGGCTTCCACCACGTTGTTCAATGTGCCGTAGGTGAAGAGGGACAGGTTACACTCCTTGATATGGTTCACCAGCCCAGGATTCCTGAACACGCCCTTCACTTCACAAACAATCCCTTCCAGGCCCCCCTCCAGGCACAGCTTGACGGCCTCCTCCAGCGACTCCCTCCTGGGGTCGCTGTGCCCGCCAGCGGCGTTGGTGAGGAAGAACACCGGGTACATGCTCTGGAGTTGCTTTGCCATGAGGGCGGCATCGGGGTGGAACGTGGAGAAGAGGATGGGCCTGTCATTGGCGTGCTGGGACACAACCCGGAGCACGGCCCCCAGCACTCGCCTCAGCTGCTCTTGCGGGTACACCCTGTGCTCCTCGAATTTGAGCTCGATATTGAAGCCCAGCTTCGGGGGTTTCACCATTTCCAGTGCCTCTTGGAGAGTGCAGAGTGCGTCGTCCCTTTCCACCGACCACCTCGCTATCTTCCCGTCTTTTGTTTTTCTCAGCAGCGGCTTCAGTTTCCCTTCCTCCCCCTCTTTTCGAGGCCCGTAGCTCAGGAATTCTGCTAAGCTCAACTCCGTGATTTTCTTCTCCACTACCCCATCCTGCTGGATCACATATCACCCAATTCCATCAACTCGTGTCTTAATTAAACAGCTTTTTCATTTGAAATCGATCAATTTCATCACAACCTTAATTAATAAGTTTTTAATAAGTTCTTGTGATGTTTCCAATTGTATCAATATTGCATATAAAAATTGAAAAAAATCCAATTTTTCTAAATGCCTGTTTTTAGCGGGATTTTTTTAATTGTACATACAAAAGATGGTAAAAAATTATATAAAACAACTGATATATTTTTTAAAAAAGAGTTGGACCACAAATTAATGAGTATATTTTAGTTAGACAAACTTCACTTTCCGAATAAATGATGTTAACTTTGATTGATTATATACTTATTTACATACAAGAGTATATTATAGAAAGTATAAAATTTTGAGTTAAAATAATTGATGAAAGGTTTAAGTTGTTGAATGGGAAAGTCAAAGAAAAAAGCTAGGGATTGAAATGGCATATTTGATTTCGAAAAAACTGGAGACGGTGAGATGATATAATGAAGTGAATAAACATGCAGTAACATAATAATAGGCCGGGGTGGGTTGCTCTTGCTTACTTACGTGATGTTGGGAAAGAATGAAATCGTCGTGAAAGATAACAGGGCAGTCGTCTTTTGTGACCTAAGAGAAACGCAGCGTGCAATTAAAAAGCCGCAGCAGCAGGAAGGAATTTGAATTTGATGGGCAACCAACCTGGACGTCAAACTCGATGAAATCGGGGAAGAAATGAGCGGCGGCGTTGAAAGAGCGAATGGAGTTCTCCTTGAAGGCGTTGAGCCTCCGATCCGGCGACTGCACCACGTTCATCCCGTTCCCTCTGTGCCCAATCACTACAAATTTCGCCGCACCTGCAAACCCAAACCCAATTACTCCGTATATATATATATATATATTGGATCATCCACGCACCGATCGAGAATGTCGTAGGTACGTACCTTGTGGGTATCGGCGGCGGCGGCGGCAGAGAGAGGCGTTCTCCGGTGCATTGGGATTGGGAATGTCGGCAGCCATTGCTAGCTTGGGAGAGAATTGAAGAAGCTAGCTTGGCCCGGGACACGCACAGCTAGGAACCGGGTACCCTATTTGTAGCACCCGCACGGAATATAAATTCCCTCGATGGATATTCCTCCCATATGCGCAGAATATTCCCTCGCTTCTCCTTGTTTCTTTTTAGGAGAACTCAAATGTCCATTCTTTCTTATTTCCATTTTATCTTCTCTACACTAAATGTCAATACTAAGAGCCTAATACCTTACATGATGCATTTTAAATTTTTGAAGTTCTTGTTCAAGTTGATGGATTGATTGATTCTGTTGATTCTTTAAAATATTATATATAAAATATATTTTATCAAGAAAAAATAGTTAAAATGATCATCTACATCAACTTCAGTCAAAACACAAGGTTTAGTGAAAAAGTTGGCTGATAAGCCGAAAACATGGTTACCAAACGGGCCTAAATCTCAAGAGAGCTCATAAAGTAATTCAATTTATGACACATTCTTCAAATTTAATAAAAACAATTTAATGATTTTGTTACATTTTAGTTTAAATTAGTTAAGGAATGGAAAATGTTAAAAACGAGCTGGTTTGACTCCCTCCGTGTTTAAAAGAATCCTACATTAAGTTTTGACACAATATTTAAGGGGGAAATAGTAGGTGTGATGAATAATGTAGAAAAAGTATGAGAGAATGTGAAAAGGTAGGAAAAAGAAGATACAAAGTAAAAAACTTAAGTGTAATTGGGTATATTTAAAAAAAACTTACTAAAAATGAAAAGTGTAGCAACCTTTTAAATACATCTTAGGAAAGTGCAGCAAAGTTTTAAATACGGAGAGAGTATATGTGTTAACATTTGTAACATTTGAGTTCAACATATATTTTTATGGAGGAAAGAGTTCACCAATTTATATTAGAGTTCATTAGTGCATTGCCTACTTCAACTACTTTTAACGGAATAAACTACTAATACCATTTGTAGTGGCTAAAGATTAAAAATGGAACTTTTAGACTTCTAATTAGGTGTAGTGGTGGATTAAAAGGGGGTAAAAGTGGGAAGGGGAGTGGAGGAGCGTAAAAATAAAGGGTTGAATTGACAGGGCAAAAAACAATTGAAAAAGAAAAGAAAAGAAAGAGGCGGTCGGCTCCAAAGCGTTGCTATGGTTCAGCTGACATCATAATGACCTCACGCAGATGTCATCATAATCCCAAATTGTTTTAAACTCTTATAACTTTTTTATTTGTTCTCCAAAATTTTCAAAAAGTTTATCAAAATTCATGAATTTTTATGATCTTTCATATGACATCCATATGTGATATATAAAAAGATTTTTTTTTTAAGTTTTAATTGTTGGAGTTTTCTTGAGCTAAAAAAAACAAAACACAAATTTTTAATTCATGAAGCCTTCACAAATAATTTAATATTTCATAATCGAACTTTACTTAAACTAATTCATTTTGTTAACCGAAAAACTTTAAAAAAAATTAATAAAAATTACTTGTTTTTACATCGAAATGTGTATTTTTTTATTTCATAACCATTCAAGGATAAAATTAAAAGTAAAACATTATTTATAATAATTTTTTACTAAATTGATATGTAAAAATATGCAGAGTGTATTTTATTGACGGTGCACGAATGCAGAGAAAAACAGTATTGACAGAGTCTAAACACTGTTTTCATATGAAAGGAGTCCAAATTTGACAATTTGGACTCTTGACCACTACAAATGGTCTAAAGACTACTTGTAAACAAATCGTCTCATATTTTTCAATTGAAATATGACAAATGTTAAACACATTTTAAAAATACACAATTGATTTTATAAATCATCTCATATTTTTTAAGTTTTTTCAATTTTTAATTAGTTTAAACTAAAACCTAACAAACCTTTAAGTCATTTTTTCTAAGTTGTCCATTTATATTTGACGATATATCAGACGAACCACTCCAGCTTAACTGGTCGCCGACTCGCTCTCTCATATGGAAGGTCTTGGGTTCGAAACTTCATGGAGACAGTTTCGGTACCTCAGTCCTCTCTCTCTCGCCCCGTTGGGATAAAAAATGAATGTATCATAATTTCAATGCGAAAGCAAGTTGAAGTTCTTTCTTAACTCTATTGCAAGTTAATGTAATGTTTATCCCACTATTATACAATTTGGTATAATAAAAATATAACCATAATCAGTAAAGATGTGTAAATTGACTTCAATGTCGTAACCCTAATCAATCCATTCATCTCTATGCTCAACCTATCTGTGCTTCCTTCCACTCGGACGAAGATCGTTGTCTACCTCTTGCCGACTCATGTTGCACCGCCGGAGAAAGCCACAACTCGACGCCCCCATCAGCATGACGCATCCCCCCCAAATCTGCTATTGTCGCTCTTCTTCTCCCTTCTCATCTTCACCAACGCCTCCACCCGCTAGCATCACCTTCACGACGCCACACTATCATCGCCACTACTCTTAGCCATCTCCGACATCTCTATTCTTCTTCACCTCCTCTTCAACAAGACTGTCCACATTGTTGAATTCCCACACCGGAAACGTGTGAAGGAATTAAGTGCTATATTGAGATCTGGATTACTCCTCATATCAGGTTGACCTTTTAGGATGGAATCCCGGATCTTATCATACATCCCTTTTCTGATATTGAGGATGACGGAGACGGGCCTAATCAGGTCACTCACCGACGGCTAGGGTTATGGTGCGGCTCAACATGGTTGTGGTTACGAGTTGGGATGTGTCTAGGGCTGGACGACAACGCAATTGGGGATGACGTTGGGCTGGTGATGGGGGGTTGCGTAGCTAGTAGGGGCTATGGTATGTCAAAATATTCGCTTTTCCCCGTTATTTATTACATTACATGGTTGCGATCAGATGATGGGTAATCGTTTTCTGTGGTGGAAGTTGAACAAAGATAATTTGTGAGTTGAAAAGTCATTCCACAACCAACTAAACTAATTTTGTACATACACATTATTTAGCACCACACTCACATTAGTTTATGAAAGAATGGCAAAAATAAGACTCATGTTTTGGTTTAATTAATATAGGATCAATTTTCGTTTGGACAAAAAAAGGCAATAGAATGTGTAAACTGACCTAAATGTCCCTAACAAAATTCAATCCATTCGTCTGTATGCTCCACCTCTTTGTGCCTCCTTCTGCTTGGATGAAGATTGTCATCTACCTCTTGGCGACTCTTGTTGCACCGTCGAAGAAAGCCCCAGCTCATGCGGCGCCTCCATAGCATGACACATCCCCCAAATCTGCTACTGTCACTTCTTCTCCTTTATTCATCTTTGGCAACACATCCACCGCTAGCATCACTGTCGTGTTGTCTCCTCCTCCAGCACCACCACCTCTTCTTTTTCACCTCTTCTTTCCTCCTCCTCCTTCACCTCTTCTTCTACCCAACTATCCACAGCCCTCGTCCGATTTCGAGGATGACGTAGATGGACCTAGTTGGGTCGCTCGTCGACAACTGGGGTTATGGAGCAGCTCGGTGCGGTTGGGATTGCGAGTTGGGATGCGCCAAGCTAGGGTTGGCGACGACGCGATTGGGGACGATGTCGGATTGGTGATGGGAGTGAACTGCAATATGGCAGAGGGAGGGGAGATGTAGGGGGCGAGTGCATGGGAAGGGGACGAAGGGAGGGGTTGCGGATGGGGCAGGGGAGCTGGAGGGGGCTAGGGTAGTAAGTAGTGTCCTTGGGGCGACTGTCGGTGGGGTGGGTTGAGGTATCGACGATGGCATGGCGGCAGTGTCACTTGGCATAGACAGTTGAACATGGGTCACTGCGCGGTTGTAACTGTAACTGCTTGACGATGGTAAATGCATTTGACCGGTGTTTGGTCACTATCCGGGCTATCAAACTAGTGATGATCACTGTGAGTGGTGGTCACTAAGTGGCAGCGGTCATTGACTTAAAATGGGTTACTCTGGCGTAGGAGTAGTTGTCATCGTGATCGAGGATGACGTTGACCACAATGACAGGCTGTGGTCAATGCTCAAGGTGATCACTCACATATTTTTTTAATCATTGTGACATTACTTAGCACTGATGAGGTTAGATTATATTAGTAAGGTTGTTTTAGTTTCTTAGCCTATCTTTAGTCCCAAATTTTGGAAACTCAAACAAATTATATCATTTTTATCCATAACTCATTTTCAAATACTTCGTAATATTTATAAAAAAAAATCCTTGGTTTATTGTTTGTGATTTTGGATTCTTGTATATACAATTTGTGGATGTGTAAATGTCTTGTTTCACATAGATCATATTTGTTTTTTTTGTTCGCGCCGAAATTTTATTAGCTATAATTTTAAAGTAATTTGTGTCAATTTATATATATTTTTACACGATATATTATTATAGATATAATAAATAAATGAATTTCATTTCATAAAAAATAAATAAATGAAATTGAGAAGGAAAAAGTGGCAGTATGACCGGGATCCACGCAATGGATAGACAATTGACAGTACGATTTGGTTGGTTGGTACTACATGGTAGACACGCTGACGCATATCCAATGCATGATACATACGGACATGGAAAGCCATATCCCAATTGGACGAAATTTAAGGAGTTGTTTGGGTATTGGCTTTACACCCAAAATGTCAAAATTTTTACTGATAAAATATTGCATTTAGCACCGTGTGGAGTTGAAAATCCAACTATCCCTAAATTTTTATGTGTCCGTTTGGTAATACTGAAATTGAATCGGCTGATTCTGGTGAAATTTATGAAGTTTTGGTTGAAGTGGCCATAATGGCTGATTCTGCTTATATATGCAAAAAAACTCCGTATTTTATTAATAAAACAAAGAAAAAAGTACATGAAAAAATAGTTTAAGTGGTCATCTACAGTAACTTCAACCAATACAGCCAGAAAAATAACTTCAACCTTACTTTTTCTTATTATTACACAATTCAACGCGCGAAACCAAAAGTTACGTGTTTGGTTAAAAAGTTGGTTGATAAGCCGGATTTGACTTTTATCATTTAAAATATGCATCAAACTTGTCTGTTTTAATCAATCATGA